TGACACAGTAGACCACGGCATCCTACTCCACAAACTTGACCATTATGGTATAAGAGGCCATGCGCTTGCATATTTCAAATACTACCTTACTAATAGGTATCAGTACGTCACCATTAAAGATGCAGCCTCATCAACACGGCCACTTAATAATCGAGTTCCGCAGGGAAGTGTCCTTGGTCCCCTGCTCTTCCTCCTTTACATTAATGATCTTCCAAACATATCCCAACACCTGAAACCCATTCTCTCTGCTGACAACACGACTTACGTCATCTCCCACCCTAATCTTGCCACCCTCAACACCATTGTCAACGAGGAGCTGCTCAAAATATCGACTTGGATGACAGCCAATAAACCTACACTTAACACTGACAAAACCTACTACATTATGTTTGGTAGCAGAGCAGGTGTTGTGCAACTTAACATTAAGATCGACAACACTCTAATTGCCAGACATAATGAGGGCAAATTCCTAGGTCTGTACCTCGACAACAACCTAAATTTCAGCACCCATATCCAACACATAACAAAAAAAGTATCCAAAACGGTGGGGATCCTCTCCAAGATACGATATTACGTGCCGCAAACTGCCCTTCTCACACTATACCATTCACTCATTTATCCATACCTCACCTATGCTATTTGTGCTTGTGGATCAACTGCAGCAACACATCTAAAGCCAATAATAACCCAACAAAAAGCCACAGTAAGAATAATCACTAAATCCCATCCTTGGCAACACCCCTCCCCCCCCACTCTTCATAGATCTAAACTTACTCCCTGTTCAGAACATCCACACTTACTACTGTGCAATCTACATCCACAGGACCTTAAATTTCAATATTAACCTTGACCTAAAACGCTTTCTTGATAGTTGTGACAGGACCCACAGGCATAACACCAGACACAAACATCTCTATGACATCCCCCGTGTCCGACTAAACCTTTACAAAAATTCAATGTGTGTCTAAGGGCCTAAAATCTGGAACACCCTACCTGAAAACTCTAGAACTGCAGACACATTCATCACTTTCAAAACTACAGTTAGAAAACATCTTATCTCCCTGATACACCCCGTCAACTAACTACATGTAAACCACCTGGTAATTCACACTTACACTCACTCACCCATTGACTATAAACACAGAAATACGAATCTTAATCTTAAAATTATGAATCCTAACTAGTCATAAGTTTGCCTATGATACTCCAATATAGACACTATGTATTGTGCCGAAACAAAAGCATTCACATTGCTAAACTCACAAACTATAATGTAGTCACTTAGCCTTAATACCATAATCTGTAATAATTTAAAGTTTAGAATTAATCTAAGTCTGCCCGAAATGCCTAGCCATGCTAGGTGTCCTAGTGGCTCCCTCTGTAATTAGTATTTTAAAACATGTAAACCACACAATATTCAAAATCTGTAAACCCCGCATTGTAATCCTTATAGAGAATAAACTTGACTGATGGATTAATTGATGTGAAACTCTATCGAAAGCCTTACTGAAGTCCATATACACAATATGATATTCATTACCATGATCTACCTCCTCAAACACCTTAGTGAAAAAAGTTAGTAAATTCGTAAGACAGGAACGCCCCTTTGTAAAACCGTGTTGAGAATCATTAATCAATCTGTGCCTATCAAGATGGCTATGAATTGGTTCGGCAATTATTGATTCCATAAATTTTCCCACTATGGAGGTAAGGCTTGGTCTATAGTTCGAAGCCAAGGACCTGTCACCTGCCTTGTAAATCGGTATTACATTTGCCATTTTCCACTTATCAGGCACTATGCCAGTTTGTAGTGATATGTTAAAAAGATTAGCCAAAGGTATGCTAAGTCCACTCTTGCAAACAGTTCATCAGGGCCTGGGGATTTGTTAGATTTTAGTTTCTCTATTGTCTGAGGACCATGTCACTAGTTACTGCAATTGTGCATAGTTTATTATCGTCCTGTTCTACATAATCTATTATTTCAGGAATATCACTAGTATTTTCCTGGGTGAAAACTGAGAGGAAGTTGGTATTGAGAATTTCACACATATCCTTATCACTGTCAGTGATTTGACCAGAGTTACTCTTAAGTGGACCAATCTTGTCCCTAATCTTACTTCTGTATACCTGAAAGAACCCTTTTGGGTTAGTCTTTGAATCCCTTGCAACATTAGCCTCATAATCCTTTTTGTTATTGTTATTCCTTTCTTTATTTCTCTCTTTAATTGAATATATTGATTTCTTAACTGCCCATCCCCTCTTTTGATACGCCTATATATGCCTCTCTTTTGACCAATGAGATGTTTTAATCTATTGTTCATCCATTTGGTATCATTTTTGTTAGATCTAATTTCCCTACTCGGAACAAAAGTTGTCTGGGCAGCTAGAACTATGCTCTGAAAAACGTCATATTGGCAACCAAGATCACCTACCTGACCCATAGTCAGGACATCCCAATTTAGCCCACCCAGGTAATTTTTCAGTCCCATGAAGTCGGCCAAGCGAAAATCTGGGACAGAGATTTGACTGCAATTATCTGGGTAATTCCATGATATATTGAAACTAAGTGATTTGTGATCACTTTTCCCAAGCTCATCATTAACCTCAAGATTATTAATTAGTGACTCTTTGTTGGCAAGAGCCAAGTCAAGCAGATTGTTTCCTCTAGTTGGTTCTGTCACAACCTGTTCTAAAAAGCAATCTTGAACCTAATCAAGAAAGTCACTAGACTCAAGATTTCCTGTCATATTGTTCCAATAAATTTGTATAAAGTTAAAATCTCCCATTATCACAACATTTTCATATCTAGATGCCTTATGAATTTCGTCCCATAACAGCTTATGCACTCCCTATCAAGGTTTGGGGGCCTGTAAATCACACCCAAAATTAATTTGTCGCGTCCCTCGAGAAACTGTAGCCAAACAGATTCTGTGTTCGATGTTTCTAATCTTATATCATGTCTAAGACAACAATTTAAATTTTCTCTGACGTACATCGCCGCTCCACCATCCTTCCTGTTGACCCTATCAGTGTGGAATAGTTTATAACCCTGTATGTTGCACTTCATTTTAGTATATATAATATTTTATTTATTAAAATATTTCTGGCTTTCCATTTAACTGAAAGTTATTATAAAATAAGCCTTCAACAGAAAAAAAAATTCTTACGCCTTCATATACATGATTAATTTAATAATAACCTGTTTATTTATAATTAATCTAAGGCCTAAGAATATATTCTCCAAGAAGTGTGCAACTGTTAGTGACTAATAATTTACTTTAATACTAATTTTGGAATTAAATTATTCTTGACTGGTGTCGTAACCTTAATGACTTATGCAGTTGGCAGACTTAATACAATAAATTATTTATTCTAATGCATCGTGATATGTTATTCATGAAGAGTATATACACTGAGTACTAAGTTCAGTCTATTTCTGGCATTAATGTATTTTTGACTAGTGGTGAACTGATTAATTATAGGTTTAATGAGTCATATCAGTCATGTAGTCGATTGCTATTGTTCTCAATTCAATTAATTAACCATTACAATCCTAGGTCACAAGACTATATTTACCAAGAGCTGTATGTCTTTCATTGTATATACAATAGTACTTTCTATATACATTGTATATACAATAAGAGTTTAATTTAATCGTTATTTAAGGAATTAAAATATTCCTGACAGGTGGTGAACAGGTTATACAAGCAGCCTTAATGACTAGTATAGACGATTGTCTTTAAAATAAACTACTTAACATAGTGTCAAACTTACACATACACATAGAGCTTTGTATCTTTTCGTGTGTATACACTGACACATTACTTTTATCCCAGATTTATGGAATATGGTGTCCATAACTGGATGTCTGCAGTTACATTTTTAATGATAAATACTCTGAGAGGTGAATTTATGCTATGAATTCATTTTAATTTCCATTATAGAAATTAGAGTATTCTTGGCTCTGTGTACAGATGACTTGCAGTATAAATTATCGTAGTGTAGTCAAGAGGCTTTAATCCAAATAAATAATGTGCAGGCCATTCTTTTCAAATTGGAAAATCTTGAATTAATCTAACGCGACGGCGGGTTCAAATCCCGCCCGTGGTATGGTTTCTTTTATGAATACTGTGCTATACAGTATTAATCAACATTAAATATGTATTTGTGCGTAAGTTAACGTATTTATATATTACTTTAGCAAAGAAATGGTTTTGGTGTTCCGTTTACGTTGCATTTTGCACCAAAATATTTTCGACTTTAAAAATGCGCGACAGAAGAGGCCTAAGACCCGTATACTTGATCCTGGGTGGGAGAAGACGGCAGCAAGTGTCATGGTCTAACACCCAAGAAAATATTGATCACTAAGAAAACAATGACAGCTGATCTTTTTGAGTCGAATACACTTCTCGTGTAATTATTATTATTATTATTATTATTATTATTATTATTATTATTATTATTATAATCAAATAGAAGCGCTAAGCCACAAGGTTCTCGTGTAATTCAAACAGATTATATTCAAATAGCAAGAATATGATCAAGAACCTCTGAACACAGAATCAATGAAACTGCAAAAATCTAAGTGACCATCTCATCGTGTACTGTCTCCCGGACATATTTCCTCCAATGATGACTTAAAATCAGAAGCAGTGATTCACTGCTAGATTGTCACACAAGGGAGTGTATTATATACAACTTCAATACAAATATGAATACAATCATTTAAATTGATATGAATCATATACAAACAATTTGTAATGGATATTAAAAACTTCATTTTCTAATATGTGAGTTTTTATTTCAACTTAAAGAGATGTGAATAAAGTTTAATAAAATCTAAAGCACTAGTCAATAAATTAGTGCAGACAAAAATCTTGAATCATCTATGTCGCAAATCAGAAAATTTGAGAATTGTTCCAATATTTTAACTCTTGAAAAACAAGAGTAAAAAAATTGGGAGTTTGAGTTTATGAATACTAATATGATAGTGACGATACCTTGAGCAGGTGGTTCACAGAGTGGTTCACTTGCCGTGGTGGTTCACACAGTGGTTCACTTGCCGTGGTGGTTCACACAGTGGTTCACTTGCCGTGGTGGCTCACACAGTGGTTCACTTGCAGTGGTGGCAGCTCCAAGCAAGTGTTCCCCAGGATAGGATAGGATAGGATAGGACTCACAGGTAAGGACCCCGAGGGGCGAGGGGCAAGTGGGGACAGTGCGAAGAATAGATGGTGAGAGGAATGTCTTGAGTTGAAGAGAGAAGAGTCAGGACTAGACCCAACTGCTAAGCCTGGATAAACAATAACGAAGACGACATAAAAATAACAGGGACTCTGCGGGTGCTGACAGCAACTGACTGGAAGCACTTCAATCTGCAATGACTGGATATGGTTCAGGGACATGTTGTTGCAAAGGCGACGCAAAACGCAATCTCAAGCACTTCAGCCCCAAAAAACGCACAAAGACACAGCTATACGGCAATGGCACTTTTTAAGTTATTTTTATATTTTAGCAAAAATCAGACAAGTTATGTGTATGTTGGTGGAGGTGCCGGATCATTCAATGATTGAAAAAGATTTACATCATTGTAAGGACGTCTGAGAGTATCATCTAAGTAAGTAGTCCAATAGTCATGATATGTTTCAAATCTGTCAAGTTGTTTGTCACTAAGTGTCTTCCAGTACACGTTCAAAGCTGGTGTGTTTGTCGTGAGGTGGAGAGATTCACTAGTGGCAAATTCGTCCCACCTCACTCCCAACACCCAACGTAATGCACGATTCTGGATACGTTGAAATTTTAGTGCGTTTGTCTTGGCAATTGACGTCAAAGCGAGTGGAAAGTATGAGAGTAGAGGACGAATGAGAGCTTTATAAAGATGTAGTTTTGTCTTGGGACTGGCTCCTCGCAGCTTATGTAGCCTTGAGAGTGCAGTTCTCGCCAGTATGGTCTTTGTAGTGATGTGTGATTTGAAGCTCAGTGTGTGGTCGAGGGTAATACCAAGGACAACTGTCTTGAAAGAGCGTGGGATGGGGGTACGGGAGGTGCTTGTTTTGAGTTCGACAGGAGTGGGGACATCTCGCATTCTATGGAAGTAAGTGATTTTTGACTTATTGGGGTTGGTTTTGATGCGCCATAATAATTCCCAGTCGGTAATCCTGTCGACCTCTCTTTGTGTTCTGCGTACAAGGAAACGAAAATTTTCATGTGTTGTGAGTTGAGTGATGTCGTCAGCGTAGGAAAGGGTAATTGTGTTAGGGTAAAGAGGTTCTGGTAAATCATTCGTGTAGAGTTATATTAGGGGGGAGATAGGACAGAGCCTTGGGGTACACCAGCTTTTAATGTGAAATAGTCAGAATAATGATCTCTGAATCGTATACGCATCGTTCTGCCATCTAAAAAATGACATAATAATTTCATCATATTTAAAGTTAAGTCAAAGGAAGTGCAAAGTTTGTATTTTAATCCTTCATGCCAAACAGTGTCAAAAGCTTTTTCTACATCTTTGGCTACGAGGGCGGAGGTACAGTTCTGGGCTTTATTGATACGTATATAGTTCAGGATCACATTCAAAACGTCTTGGGTAGATCGTTTTTGTCGGAAACCGAATTGTCTTTCAGTAAGCAAGTTATGTGTCTCTAGGTGAGTCCTGAGTCGCATATTTACTAGTCGTTCAAAGGTCTTACCTAAAATTTCAAGAAGGCTGATTGGTCTATAGTTCTTGGGGTCAGTCAAGTCTTTCCCAGGTTTTGGTATGAGACATGCAGTTGCAGATTTAAAGAATGGAGGGAAATAGCCAGATGCTAGAGAGGCATTAAAGAGGTCAGTGATAGCTGAAGCAGCAGAAAGTGGAAGGTGACGAAGGACTGAATGTGACAGACCTGAAGCACCTGGAGCTTTTTTTGGAAGGTGTGTTAGTAATGAGTGAACATCATTTACAGTAAATGGAGAGTTTAGAGGATGTGTGGAAGTTAGGGTGTTTAGGTTTATGACTTGATCAGGATTAGTTAAATCTTCATGGTTTGATACCCATCTCTCTATGTTTACTGTGTGTGCCATGACAGCTTGGTCTGGTGGATGTGGGTGGAAGATGTTTTCCCATATGTCTTTGAAAATATGTACCGCTTCAGCAGGGTCAGAGATCTGTCTGTTGTCGCTGTTTATGTGTCTAAAGGTTGAGGATCGAGGGGTGCCTGTAAGTTTCCGAATGGATGACCAGAATGCTTTTGGATCTCTTGTACGCTGTACATCTGTATGATTTATAACTGATTGCCAATGTCGGGCGTGGTCATCATCTAGGCTATGGATGATATGTGTACGTAAAATAGTGAGGTCCCATCGGATGATATTGAGTCTGTTTTGGTTTGCTAGGAAACGGTGTCTGTAACATATGAGTAATCTTTTTGTTCTTTCTGATGGGCGAAAAGAGTATCGTACTTTGTGGTGTGTCATTGGGACAACCTCTGTAGCAGTTTGGGTAATTGTTTGTTGAATACGTTGAATTTGTGTGTCTATGTCTGATACTGGTCTATTGTCATGTTGTGTGTTAGATCAAGAGTGTTTAGGCGTTGTTTGAAGAGATCCCAGTCCGCCTGAGAATAAGCTGGAGAGGGGCGAACTGGAATGAGTATAGGATTTGAGGAAATATGCAAAATGATAGGAATGTGGTCAGATCCAGAGAGTGGTCCTGGTGTTGTGTAGTGATGTAAGCGATTACTAGCTCTGTTTGTAAAAATTTTATCAGGGGTGCCTTGGCCAAGGTGTGTAAAGACTGTTGGGAAGTAAGGTCCAAGGTGTATGAGATGTTTCTGTGTTACAAGTGTATGAAGTTGCCTTCCACGTAGATTTGTGTAGTTGTCATGGAAATCTGTGTGTTTGGCATTTAGGTCGGCAAGTAGATAAACAGGGAGATGTGTATGATTAAAAAGAATGGTTAAATCGTGAATGTTAATGTTTTGATGGGGTCTGGTATATGTCGTGTACAGGATGATTGGTCCATGTATCGTGTAAATTTTCACAGCCATGCTGTGAGAATATGTAAATGGAAGGGATAAGAACTCATGTTTTATTGTACTTTTCACAAGAATAGCTACGCCATTCCAGTGTTCAGCAGGAGATTGACGGGCTGTATATCCTAAGTGTCTGATACGTTGATCATCACGTACACACGTGCTGTTTAATAGCAACACGTCTGGTTGTTCTGATTCAACGAGGTCAGCAAGAATGTATTTGTTTGCGTTATAAGCTCTTATGTTAAATTGAATAACCTTAAGAGCCATGGTTGGGGTTACTTGAAGGACGAGATTGTGAGCCTTTCACAGCACCTAATCTATTTTTGGTCGGTTGTGATTTATGGTTTCTGGATTGGGAACGGGAAGGGGAAGGTGAGAGGGGCATGGAGTGGGAGGTGGAGCGAGTGGGAGAGGTCGAGGGCTGGGTTTGATACATTAAATGATCAAATCTATCCAGACATTTGGTGAATCCGGGAGAGAAGTCAGACTGTTGTTCCACAGTATTAGTTCGAGACTTGCGAGTAAGAGAACGAGAAGGACGAGTAGAGGAAGAAGGAGGTTGAGATCGTATGGTATTAGAGCCAGAGCTGGTGGAAGGAGTAGAAGGACAGGATTGTGGCATATAGGTGGAAGGAGCAGGGTCTGCCTGAGTAGAAGCTTGAAGAGGATTTTCTGGAGGGGAGAGAGAGCAGTTTGGAAAAAGTTCATCCTTAGGAAGAAAGAAATCAGGAGGGAAAATGATGGGGTCAAAGTTGTTGGCTTTCAAAAGATCATTCAGCATCGTTGGATAGTTGGCACTTTTAAATGCTTTATGACAGTATACAGCCGTGAGCACAATGGTCTCAAGGATATTAGATTGTTTTGAGGATGAAGAGGCCGAGGGAAGGTTGGTTTGTGCAGCAGCAGCATAGGAAGGATAAGTTGTAGAAGTGGTAGCAGGAGGAACATAAGAGTTTTGTTGGTAAGTGGATGAGAATGTTGTCTGTGTTTGTGAGCGTGGAGTCAAGACTGGGTTTGGGAGGTTCAGAGGTTGGTCTTTCCGTAATGAAGAAACATAATCCTTACGAATTGGGCAGTTGAAAAAAGTAGCAGAATGTGCCTGAGAACAGTGCAAACATTTTAGAGTGTTGGAACATTTTTGCCATGTGTGGCCTAGAGAAGAACACCTGGAACACAGCTGTTGCTTGTCACAAGTATTCTTTAGATGTCCAAACTCGAGACATTTGTAGCACTGGTGAATAGCGACATAGTTGGGTAGAAACAATGAAGTAGGTGGAATAAGAAAGTAGTTAGCTCGAACACCATGTTTGAACAGTTTATCAGCCTCATCAGGAGTGGAACATCTGATCTTAAGGATATTAGAGCGTTCAGGATGGAAAAGTTCCTCAACTGTGACTTCATTTTGAGTTGAAATGTCTGTCATCAAGGCGTCTTTGTTCTGGGTGTAATCGTTTAGCAGTGATGAGTCAACAAATTTTGCCACGACTGTACTCCTGGCCTTTTGATCAGGAGCCCAATCGATAACAAAACCTGCCTGAAAGAGCTTTTCTCGGACTTCCTTACTTGTACATAGATCATAGTTGACAGGATCAAGATTTACCTTACATCCGGTATGAGTCTTAAAGATGTTTATCATTCGAGCCTGAGTAATATTGAAAAAGGTAGAGGCATAGTCAATCGTATCCTTGTCAGCTTTAGAGTACTTTAACATCAAGGCCATTGTCGGAAAACTGGGTCTCTGTGCAGTTGCCATGATGACAACAGCACAGGTGGAATGCTGCCTGAATCGTGAGTGGCGTCTAAGGGGCGTCAAGTGCGTAATTCTGACTGATCATGTTTGTGTTGTAAGTGTACCTGCCAAGATTAGGCTTCCCATGCGTTAATTACAAGAATGCAGCCACGGGCACCGGACCAGACGAATACTCCCACCGACGCAGGAGCAGGTCCAGCCGATCCAGAAAAAAGAAGAAAATTTTAGAGGAGAGAGAAAGGTGCTGGTGTCTCCAGAGCGATATAGCCAAGCCGATCCACTGTGTGGGGATCTTTAACCACCTCAATGAAGAGGGCTTGACTGGCCTCTGAGGAGATTACGGCACAACAGAGAGCTAAACCCGTGTCACACAAA